GCAGTTGTGTGCTAAGTAACTAAGAATGTATGTGATTCACACAGCCTGGAGACTCAAATTCAGTCCCTCACCCTTTCACTGTGAAAAGAATCCCTATGACATAAAACTATTTTGGCCTACCAGAATTAGGTGTTATAATTTAAATCTGCAACTTTTATTAAAGTTGCATTAAAAAAGGCTGAAAACAAATCTTTAGAAAAAAAAGAACAAATCTTTAGAAACATCATTCTAAAGCCTTGGGAACTGACAGCTGTCCTTTCTCATTTAAATTACAATATTGCATCTTATTAGTCATGTGCTCCAAAAGCCAAAAGCATTGCACTCAAATGTACAGTATATACAGTGCCTCACCAGTACAGAAGAAACCTTCCATCTCTGTTGTCTTGTTTGACTCACAATCTGATGTCAGAGGATAACTGGAGGTTACTGTGTGCGCCTATCAAACATTTGCCTACTGCAGGTCATCATGACAGCACACAGTATGACAAGGACAATTCTAGGCTTCTTATTTTCACTACGTTTCAAATAAACATTTCTAAGGTTTGGGGCACACAACTAAAGCTGAAGGGCACTGGGAGGTCAATGTATTGTTGAGGGAAACATAATACTCTCTACTGTGCAGCAACAGGGCCGGTCATCACTTTCAGAGAGTCACCCAGGTGGGTGCACAGTGACTGACACGCCTGTCACATGCTCACAGACACCACCTCGTCAGGGTCAGTAAGACAGGAGGTGTGCTTTATTAATTTCTCACGCTGACCCACTAACAAATTCATAAAATCTCAATTTGAACTCTCACACACCAGATTTCACAGACGACCCTGTTCTTTCACTCCAGAACAGACGGTCTCTTAAAATACAATGGTTTTCTAACTTAACTGTGTCCTTCCGGGGTACACATACTGTACATTCATACATTTCTTCAATTCCAGTCTCCTCCGTGATTGTCATTCTAAACCCTCCCCTTGTGGGGCACACCAACATGTACATTTCACAATTACTTCCCTGCACATCCTCACAATACATTAGGATTCCATATAGTAACACAATTAATTGTGGAAAGGTCCAAAGAGTTGAATATTTTTTTATTTTCCATTTACACTTATATATAGCACTCACAGATTTCATATAGGCTGCTGTGTGGCTTGTCATTGTGGCCTGTGCATTCTGTATAGGGAGTTTTTTGTACAGGATCTTTCTGAGGTTTGTTAGGGCTCACAAGCCACCCAGTGATGATGTGTTTTGTTTATGTGAGATGCTGTTGGGAATAATGAGCATGAGGAACGAAGCCCTTTTCTAAAACTGCAGCATCACAATGACAGCAAGGTCAATGGAAAAGTGGCCTCAAGAACAATAAAAAAATATGTCAACTAATTTCTCCCTTTACTTTATTCTTGGTAATAAACCTTACAAAATTTTGAGATGAAGTGTCTGTTCACATTTACCATTTAAGAATTTGTCAGGAAGAAACGTTAGAAAAAAAGGTTTCTTGGAAGAGCGCTCCCCAAGTAAGAGAATAATACAGGAGATAATAAAGAGGTAATAAAGACCAACTGGATTATTTGATATCCAGTAGATTTTCAATGACATCCAGTTCTGCCAACATAATGTAAACTGTGTCCTATGGCTTATTAGAAAATCTAATTCAGTCTTCGTGGGTGAAAACTGACCTTTTTGTCCACCATGGCTATTTTTATGCAGCAATATATTCATGTTTTCTGTTTTCAGGGCCTACAGTGTACATGCAGTGCCTTCTCTGGAGCTCTTTTTAGAGGCTTGCCTAGGCCTAGAGATGTGCTCAGCCATGACATGCACCAGTCTGCAGCAGCTCTGAGTGTGAAGCAGTGACATCACAGAATATGGAGCACAGCTCCTTGTCTAGACCAACAATTAGGAGCATCCCTAAGGATACCCTCTTTCCCCTGTAGTGCTTAGGCAACAGTACATTACGTATTTATATTTTAAATCACAAATATGCTACAGAACTCACAAAACAGCATGACAGAAATAAAACAGACGCC